TAACATCTGTGATAAGACATAAAAAGAAATTCTTACTGTCTCTCAGTAGCTGGGTTCAGACCTGAAGACATGTCAAGCTCCATATGGCCACTGAAAATTAGTGATAGTGTCGCACCCAGAGCACTTGTGTTACATATGAACAGAATTTTATTTCTCTAACAAGATTGGCTTTGCCCTGTCCTCCAGGGGAAGGAAGTCTTTAGGAGAAATGTGCTTAACAAGGCCCAGCTTCTCAAAAACAAAGGGCTTCACTCAGCTCTACTGTATTTCAAGGGAATTAAATGAGAATTTCAACCAGGCAGCTATCTCAACATAAACAATCATTTCTTTCTTCCAGCGAGCCAGTTAGGTGAGAAAAAGAAGTGTATGTCACCCTTCTGCCAGTTGTACAAGATGAAGGCAGAAATATAACATACTTTGAGGCTGTACCAGAATCCTGCAAACCCTTGCACAGTGACATTTATCAGACCCAGCACTGTAAGCAGCATCAGACACTGTCGCTAAAGGAAGCTTCTCTGCCACAGTCAATGGGAGGCATTTGGGTATCTCTGCAGATAGCCTGGGGCTATCCAGCAAGGAGCAAACCCTGACCCATTCCTGTTACCCCATTTAGAGCATGGCTGGAGGCTGAAGACAGCCCTGAGGCAAAATTTCTGGAATGTTTCATCCCCTACAGAGCTCTTAGTACATGGTCACAGGGCCTGCATCTCCTGTTCCTGATAGGACGTTACTCAGAGAATTACATTTTCCTCCATTTCAAAAAGCTCCAGGAGCACCAAAGCACATCAGGTTCATTATGATGCAAAACTAACAAATTAAAAGTTACAGCTTACTTTTGTGTTACATTTTCAGAAAGTAAGGACAACTCTATCTGTTCCCCTGATAATTCTCACTAGGGACATATTTGTAAATAACAGAAAAATGACCACATGAACATGTTAATGGGAGCAGTCAGCTATCAGTATAACTTGATGTGCTGTCTGCAGACACCACAGCATTGAGAACAGCAGCTGTTGCTGAGGCAAACAGCTGAAATAAAAGAGGAAGAAAGGCAGCTTGCAAACAACCGCCTTCACTGGTCCAAATGGCTCCTAATACTTTTTATGTAAAGACACACTGTTGTTAACATCTGCGTGAAGTTAATCTGAAGAGTTGTTTGCAAATAGCAAAGCTGCTAAGCACCTGCTGCTTTAGGATAGCTGAACTTTTGTGGGCATGTAACATGCTATTTTATTGCCAGCAGCTCTCCCAAACACCACCCTATACAGAACAGAAATGAATGGACTTTGTGAAGGGAACTTTTGTTGAAATTGGATAGGACTATACACAAGTCTTACCAGATACCAGAACAGTTTAAGAGTCTGGTTCAGAAATATTGTAGAGCCTGAGGGTGTAAGTTGTCTTAGAAGAGGAACTGAGGAAAGAAAAGTAATTGCTAGTGATTGAGATTGGTAACTTGGAGGTTCATTTATTAATAGATGTCAAAATGAATTTAAAAAAAAAAAATCCTGGAAGTATTTCACTTGGCTGATTTTTAAGTTGCCCTTTACATCAGTGTGTCTGAGTGCAGCACAGGTCCCATCTCCCTGGCATGCAGGGAATGCAAGAAGTGAAATGTGTATTCTGCATTTCCAGTTCACTTTTGTGCTTTCTGCCCCTTTTGAGAGTTTCCCTGAGCCACTCTCCCATAAAGAATTTCACGTTGATTGAATTTTTGTTTGATTTCAGTAAGGTACATTAAAATGGCAAAGAAAAGAAGACTGTAGCCAGAGTTAGACTGTACCCTTCTTCCCAGCAGGTCTTTGCACCCTCTCATTAGTGGGACTTGTCTGTCTTTTCCATGCCATTTCATTTCAATGGGAGATGGTCCTACGGGAGAAGTCTACAGAGCAGTAGATGCAGATGAGAGCAGTTAAACCAGGTACTTTAGAGACCTTTATTCCTGTGATTTGTCTCAATTTTGCCTAGCCTAATGTATGATTAAAATTGTTTTCAGTTTCCAGAATGGCCCTAGATGTTGAAAATAGCATGCTACAATATCAGTTAGCTTGTGTAACTGTAACTCGGGTCTTAAACTAGACAAGATTTTCCATGCAGGAGAAAAGCTAACAACCAGGGTTCAGTCTGTCTTTTATTTCTGTGATTGCACAAAATTAAGAGGAAAAGTGGGAAGGGTGACAGAACCTCAGGTGTCTTTACCTTTTGATAGCGTCTGTGTTCTTAGTTAGATCTAACTCAAAATCTTTTATGCTCAGTGGAGATAACCACTGACTTCAGTGGACGGACCAGGCTTGTAAAGAAAAGAAGAAGCAGATGGTCAGCATGAGTGCAATGAATACATTTTTTTTCTTTTGAAATCCACTTAAAAGGACTAGAATATCTTAGCTGCTCAGGTCAAGAATTGAGATTTTTGAGTAGACTTGTTTTTTCATCAGTACTGCTCTAAAAGGAAAAAAGTTTCCCAGATCCTTTTCTACATCTTCAATTTCTTGAAAATAAATATGACAACAATCTCCAGTCATACAAAATCATGTCCAGACTTAACTGATGTGTTTAAAATCCTTCCTTTTATCCGTACTTTGACAATGAAGTTCTTTCAGAGTTCTGGGAGCGAGATGACCCCCTTCCACAGATAAATCCTTCTGAGTTTTACTTCCATCTCATTACATGGATATTCCCATACTTTAGTTGCCATATGGGACACTGACTTTGATACACAACTCAGCAGAATTATTTTAGCCCAGAGTGTCCTGCATTGGTCTGTGATGGGCTTGAGTTTGACACTTGAAGCAAAGAGACTGCCAGAGTGACCTACCACTCTGTGTTATATGCAGAATACCCAGATAGCTTCCAGAATTTTTTTCTCTAATGCACTTTTGCAGCCTTTGCACAATTTAGGTGGCGTTCATTCCAAGTGGATGTGTGAATCTTACACGAGTTTCTGGAAAATCACAGCACTGTATTGATAAGCAGGTGGAAGCAGGAGGTATTTTTGAGGAATCAGATGTCAGCCTGGAATTTGGCAAGCGGATTTTCATCTCAGACTAAAAGTTATTAGCCACTACCACTACTGCTATTAATTGCCTTTTATAAAGCATACATAATTCATAACTGCATGTTCACACTGTGAATAGTGAGTGCCATTTCTGAGTATCTGAGTGTTTTAAAAAGCCCTGCAAATGCAATGTTCATAATTCTAGATAACCAGGGCATAGTGGATTCAGTTGCTATGGTTGCAGGCAACAGAAGGGAAAGATCTGTATTGCACCTCAGGCAGCAGTAACTGATTGTACCACTAAATCCACTTACATTCTTTTTTTTTAAAAATTACAATAATTCACAGTTCTGCTGACTCTGCTGCAAGTAACTTCACTGGCATTAACAGAGGCAGGGAACAAGCACTGTAAATGGAGGGCCCAGTGAAGAAGTTGTCCCCAGCCTAAAACACTGACCTATAATAAGGACGTATGTAAGCAGAAGCTCTGAGTTAAATGTATCCATGCAACAATGGAACGTCTCTAAAAGCAGTTGACTTTAGTCCCAGTATACCTTGACAATAAATTATAATTGGTTCCAAAAAGAGAATCGTCTCATTTGTTTACATTTGGTCAAAAATATTTAATAACAAGAAGAGAGCTTATTCTCTTAGGAGATCTTGGATTTTTATTTTGTTTATAAAGTATATCTGAAGAGTAAGTAAAAAAGGAGTATGTGGATCTCACCTTTTTCCTGTTATCAGTTTGGGATTACAGGCCAGGACAAGTTTTACTTTTTAAAAAACAGCTGTAGTTTCCACTCCTGTGAGATGCATGAACCAGATCAGTGTTTCAGTTTAGTGGAAAGCAGAAAGAGTAGTACCATAAGTGGTTAAAAATATCCTCAGAGGCCAGCTAAGCAGTATCTGTTTCCAGGATGGATTATCAGGGGCGCACTAACAACCTGTATCTCTTAACAAAGGTATTCAGTTAGAGGAGCTGTGACTCGTAAGTCGCTGTAATTTTCCCATTGTATCTGCCCACCTGTTAATATTTGCTGCTGCAATGCACAGTATCTCTGTAGCTAGATGAACTCATCAGAACCAATCTATTTTTCTCAATAGTTCTGTTAAAAATTCTTTCTGTGCTGCAGAGAGGTAGGATCAGAGTGACACTCAGTGGCAGGATAGGAAAAGTGATTCTCAGATTGTCTTGTAACATCTATTATTAGGATGTTAGGGCAGTCTTATAAAATTTTGGTCAGATAATTATTCGTATTCTCTGTCTTTTTGATAATATTCTATGTAAGAATTGTAATTCAGACCAAAATATGTACTTTTGATTATGGAAACTGAAAGAAAGATTGTGTTACTTACTTTGCCAAGGCCCCCTTTGCTCCTAACTTGTGTGCTGTGATCTCCTGCAACTGAAAAAAAAAAAGGAAAAAAGAATTTAAGAAATTAAACTAAAAACTCAAAAATTGAATTTCAAAATCAAGATACTTGAATCATCATAATTTTATAACCTGTGGTATTTGAATCTTTACAGATAACTTGAAGACTTCAAAGGATAGCATTTACATTTTGCATACAATTTATCATGTTCCCTATGTATAATTGACAGTTCATGAACCTCTCAGTTATTTGTGTTGTACCAAAACATTTTCTTTATCTGGAAAAAAAGTGACATTTTCCTTTTTATGTAAGTAAACACTGGAATAAATTATGGAATAGTTAAAGATCTTTAACATCAGCCCTTAGAAATGTTTAAGACAAAAATTTTAGGTGGAGTCATTCTACAGTAAGGGTAGAGTGTGGGCTGTCAGTCTTTCTAGCTGTGCTTGCTCCGGTGCAGGGAAGGATTCATAGGATTATATTCAATTATGAAGCCTGAAATTGTCCTGAGCCTGTGGCTTTCTAGAGTCACCCGAACTCACAGCATTCAAGGATGTTAGTAAATAAGAGCGATTATGATACAATTCTCCTTAAACACTGTATGTAAAGTATTTCCCTCTGTCTCAAACAGGGTCCTGTTGCATCCCCCATGTCCATGCGATCTGTTCTAACCAGCAGCTCCTGCCTTTCCCCGCCACCTCCGCCACCGCCGCCCCCGGGACCGCCGCCCATCTTCGATACGGAAACGGCAAAGGACGAAGGAACTGCGTCTCGCTCAGCCCTCTTTGCACAGCTCAACCAGGGAGAGGCAATTACCAAAGGTCAGGAGAAAAGAAATCGAATTGTGATGCAGGAGTCAAACTACACCAAGACCTGTTACATTTTTCAGAGCATTTCACAGCTTTCACGGCATTTTAGAGTTACATCCTAGCAGCTCAGATCCTTCTGAGGCCTGCAATGGTCCGATGGAGGAGGCTGCATACCAAAACGTCCTTTAGAAGCCACAGCACCCAAATAAGTTCAGTATACCTGACATTCACACCATTTAGAGGTATCACTTTAATTTTAAGGCAGCCAAGCTGAGTATATTCAGCCCCCAGAAGCTGGTCAGCCTCTTAAGTTGCAATTACAATAAAGTTTTATCCCTCTTTCTGACTCACATTGAGTGTGCAAACCTGTGTCAAAATGTCTTACATGTCAGGTGAAATAAAGCTTTTTGTATTAATATTGGAAAGTTGTAATTTAGGTATATATCTGTGAATTTAAATACATATCATTGCTATATATATGCATTTAATGCTGAAGGGATAGATCAAATATTGTCATAAGTTAGAAAAATAAATTCTGTTTTATGGGTGGAAAGACATTATAAGACAAGCTCTCAGAACTTGCTACAGACAGAGAGGGATCTAGAAGACATTGAGGGATTTTCTGGTGAACATACTAAGAGCCCATCCACAGTAGAAGAGTTTTTATATGATCTGCTAAAAGTATGTCAGCAGTTGAACTTCAGGTTGTTACCCAGGTAAACCTTGAGGAAATTAAATAAAGATAAAAAGTAATTTCAGAGAATAACATAACACAAGTACAAACAAACTTCTCATGCTTCAATATCAGCACTTTTAGGATTGAAAAATGGACTCTCTTTCACAAGCACCCTTTATTTTTGGCTTTTTAGGGCTTCGACATGTCTCTGATGACCAGAAGACTCACAAGAACCCCAGCCTACGTGCCCAAGGTCCACCTGTTCGTTCTCCAACAAAAAGCCATACTCCAAGTCCTACCTCTCCCAAGAATTCCCCACAGCAGAACCATGCCCCTGTCTTGGAGCTAGAGGGAAAGAAGTGGAGAGTGGTGAGTTCCAGTCACACCTCTGAATTTCACTTTGCACATTGCAAACCAGGAGGAGCAGTGAAACATCTTGTCTGTCATTAACATGCAACAAAACAGAAGTTAAAACTAAAATGGGCTGAGTCTTCAATTTCTCTGCATTGCTACAGTTCAGCTTTTACTATTCTGTAGGATCTTAAGTAAATGCATTTGTCTCTGAGATTCACTTATTAATTAATCTCACTGGAGAATGTCAGAACCAGCATATAAATTCCTTGCAAAATCAGACAATGCCCCAGAACACCAATTTAAATTCCTCTTTGCAGGGCATTCCTGTGAATGAGTGAGAACAGTCATCACAGACCACACTCTCCAGTTTCCCTAGCCAATGGAATTATACATTTATATTTAATTGTCCATTCCATGCAAGCATGTCTTCTGTGCTTAAAAGTAGAGGAGTGTTTTCCTTTTGCCCAATCTACAGATGGAAAAAGGAGATTTTTTTAAAAGTTTGGGTGTTAATTTATATAAGCATACACCAAAGAATCTCAGAATGAAAATTGATGTGACTGTGTTGGTTAAGAGAGAGCAGAAAGAATATGCAGTTTAGTCATGCAGAAAGTTATATACACAGTCAGTGTATATTACAGTGGAGTCCAGTTTGCATAAGGTGTAGTCACCGTTTGCCTGTGTAATGTTGTTACAGTTCTACTACTTGGAACTTTCCTTGTGGATCCCTAGCCTTTCCTGGACATCCATGGAGTGTAATTGTTCTTTTAATCCTAGTGACTTTCTTTTGAAATAGGAATATCAAGAGGATAAGAATGACCTGGTCATTAACAACACTGAACTCAAGCAAGTGGCCTATATTTTTAAGTGTAACAAATCTACACTTCAGATAAAAGGAAAAATCAACTCAATTACTATTGGTGAGTGGGTAGCTCAGCTGGGCTTCGTTACAATCTTGAAAAAACTGACTTATGTGATTAATAATGCATCTGAATCATTCCATTCATTTAATGATTGATTACGAAAGTAAAGTCATTCAGTAGTGCAGGACTGGGAATTTTCATAGTCAATGTAGCATGTGTGCATGTATTTGCTTTTGTCTTGCCTTTCTTATTTATGATTGCTTTTATTTCAGACAACTGTAAAAAGTTTGGCCTTGTGTTTGACAATGTTGTGGGAATCGTGGAAGTGATCAACTCCAGGGATATTCAGATTCAGGTAAATATCCAATTGAGAGATGAAGACCAACCTAGAAGAAGTGGGGAGGAAAAAACCCAACTTATAGCTACAAGAGATTTTCAAAACTCACAAAGCACAACAAAAGTAAGAAGTATCTAAATAGATCTTTATATGCTTTAAATTCTGCTGATGTTTTTAAAATATGCTTGTGAAAACTATTTACTATCAGTGAACAAAGCTCCCGTAGCCCAGTGCCTTTTGGTTCTGGTGAAGCTGAGAGATCTGTACACTGGCAGAACTGTTACTTCTGTCCTTGATCTGCTTGCTTTCATGGTAAGCAACTCCCAGCTCTTGAAAGTTCAGTGGTGCTTACAGAAGAAATTCTAGCAGTTAGCTAATTGATTTCGTAGTGCACAAGATTTTTTTCTTTTCTTACCTTCTCAATGGAAATTTTCAAATAGACTGTCAAGTGCTATAACGAAAAAGTAGGTGCTGGGATTCCAAAAAATCTCCCTGGCCAGTGATGTGACACTTTATATAATTTGCCTTCAAAAAGCTTAATCAGAGATCATCTTCCTTGTGATCCTCGTGAAAAGAAAATATGTATTTTAAATCTGTAATTGCCATCTCTACTGGGGGATACTTGTTTGTACTGGTCAAAATATACAGTCTACCTGACATTTGCAGCACTTCAGTCATCCTGTTCCACAGAGGCCTAACTACCTGCTCTAATATTGCATTGTGTCTGACACACACAATGTAATCTCAAGAAGACACTCCAGAACATATTATTTTAAGTGAAAAAAAAAATCGTTAATTATTATATTAAACTGCCACTCTTCAAAATGAGGTCTTTTGCTTAAGAGGCTGTGCCTGCTGTATGACATTAAATATAGACAGTCCTGCTCCATGCTTCAGAAATAATTGTCACAGCCACCACATGGAATAGGAGCAAGATGGGGTTTTTATATTTTGAACCTTATGCAAGTGACTGACATTGCTACCAACTGTGCATTATTTTCTGAACTGTAACTATCAGTTTTATTCATGATCACTACGTGTCTTTTTACAGCAGAGGAGGCAGTTAATTAAGGATCCCAGGCACTTATTGGAGCAGTTTTAAAATAATTGTATTATTTTAAGTCATTACCTACTAAAGTATTCATGAAAGCTGAAAAAATTGTATGTAATAAATAGCAAAGCCTCAGCTTGCTAATACTCAAATGAAATTTAAATACCTTTTATAAGAATCAAAATTCTTAGAATCAAAATTGAGCATGTTCTATGAATATTGCAGAAGGCTTCTATGCATGTCATGGAGCAGAATGGGGATCCACTTAAGAAGGCAGGATCTGGTTATATGCTGTATGCTGCCTGAATCAGACACCTCCCGCAGGCCTGGCATATGCCAAGTGCCAAGCACCTCAGTTTTCTCAGTAATTTGAAGACCAGAGTTCTTCAGGTCCAAATACATGATATGTTAATGCAACAGATTTCAGTAAATTAATCCTACAGATTTTGCTATAGTAACTTCAGTGCCATATTGCTCCTGTCTCCTTTATCTCAGTGGTATATCTTTTCTTGCCAGATGTTTGCAAAAATTTTTAAACACCCCTTCCTTCTGTTCTCCATTGCATAAGAACGCATTTAAGAGAGGAACTTTAGGATGCATTGATCCACTGTGTAGCTCAGACTTCAGGATAAGGGTGGGATGCAAGAGGACAGACCACTTGGTTTACTGCCACATTTAAGGAACTGAAGTTGAAAGATATTCTTTAATTAAGTGATGGGAGACACTCATTAACAAGTACATCTCTGTCATGTGCTGTCACTATTCTATGGATTAGGATAATCTCTGGTGTTTTGATGTCCAGAGTATATTGCCATCCTTGCTAGAGAGGGCAGGAGCAGGAATTTTTACTGACAAAAAGTGAGTCAGACTTTTAGCCATGAAGAAATCTTTCAATCTGTAAAACTGTAAACAAGACAAGATTTCCCTTCCTCGCCTCAAGTAAATCTTGTGCTTGCTCTTAAAGAGACATACAGAATCGTTTTAGAGATTTAATTGAATTGATCTTAGTACCTATTTAGAACTGTAGCTTGCCTGAAGAGGATGAGAACCCTTTCCTGTTGGATGTTGCAAGATCAACATTTTCAGAGATCTTGAAATCTTCAGAGTGTATTACAAATCCCTTGTTGAGTACTACTTTATGCTGGGATCTTTCCTTTGCCCTTGAAGTTTACATGTTTGACTTCTTAGTCAATACTCACTGCTGAACAAGGTGAACACTGCCTAAATATCAGCACAAAAGTGTCATTGAAATAATCAAGAATCTGAGAAATACTATCATCAAACTGTATATTGAAAGCTTGCTGTATATTACAGGTTTGCTGTCGTATACAGGTCTTTGTTACCACGACCAAGAATTTTCTGTGTCCACCAAATCGAATCAAAGCATCACACAGGCAGGTGACACACAGATCAGATGCTGGTGGCCAAAATTAGATCTAGAAGGCAATGAGGATTTTATTAACAGTATCTCTGTTTGCATTTTAAGATTTGATGTTAAGTAGATTTTATTTTGCAGGTGATGGGGAAAGTGCCAACTATTTCTATTAACAAAACAGAAGGCTGCCACATCTACCTCAGTGAGGAGTCATTGGATTGTGAGATTGTGAGTGCCAAGTCATCTGAGATGAACATTCTCATCCCCCAGGATGGTGATTATGTGAGCGAGATACTTTTTTATTTTCCTTTCTGTTTCATACTACCCTTGGCAGTTAAGAGAACTTAAGCAGCTAGGAAAGAAATTGATGTAACACATATAATTGTGTCACCAAAGAAATGATCCAAAACAGTTTAATTTCTATGTGCCTGTATATCAGCAAAAGAATTCTTTATTTTGTGGGGCACAAAGTAATTTCAGAGATCAGAAATTATGTCTTTCCATTCTGATCCATAATGGCTTCATGTCCTATCCATCTGATCTTCTTTTTTTAGTATCTAAACATAATCCACCAGAGAAATTACCTTCACAGAAAAGCACTTAAGTCTGAAGATGATGAGGCTAAAACTAAGATAAATGTAATGATACTACAGGTGAATTAATACAGTATAATTGTTTTTTCTAAAGCTATTTATACATGTGTAACAGCTGTAGTACTTTGTACTATTTTCAACATATGTCCTTAAAAGTCACTTAAACTGGTGCATTTTTCCAGTTCCTTTCCCGTTCTAGTAAAATTTCCATACTGTGCACAGTGGCATTTCTAGTAAAGTCATGCTCTGTCACTTCACACACAAGTAGGCAAAGTGTGCTCCTAATAGTTCCCTGGTGTCATCAGCAAAGTATAATTGAAATTGCTGTGCATGGCCAGAGACAGAACTTAAATTTCTTGTTAGTCTTTTGGGATGAAATTTAGTACAGGGGTTTAGGCTTTATAAAATAAAATGTGTAATGAGAACTTTTGTGCTTCACATTTCCAAAAGTGACTGCTGGATGCCTTTACTTTACTTTAGACTTTTAGTTTTAGACTGGATGCCTTTATTTAGACAAGTAAAAAATTGTAGAATCAAAGAACACTTTATTTGATGTTATGCTTCGTTTTGTGTACCCCACAAAGGATGCTGACTATTTTGAAGTGTATCACGCTTAAAATGACTGGGTTTTTTTTTTTTTATTTCATTCTTCCATATTACAGTATTGCTTTTGTCCTTAAAATTAGAATCCTGGCTTAATCTCTCCATCTAAATGCTCTCTACTATCTTCCAGCCCAGACATCAATGGAATCTGAAGTCATTTCTGACATGAGGCTTATTTACTTAGTTGATGCAGATAATGGTGTGAGAGAAATTATTGCAAAGTCGTACCATACCAAGGCTATTTGAAACTGGGTAGCAATCAGGCTTTTTCCTGTGTGGCATTGTAAAATAACTTCCTAGGGTAATGAAGAAGGCTTCTCTCTAATCCTGGCATGTCTGAGCTATCAATGCTTTCGCAGTCATGTAGAAATAATAGTATTCCACCAGTTTTCATGAGATATCCCCTGTTTGTTTAACCATCATTGTTGCTTTTGTTTCCTACCAGAAAGAATTTCCGGTTCCTGAACAGTTCAAGACCGCATGGGATGGATCTAAGTTGGTCACTGAACCTGCAGAGATTGTGGGTTGACTTCCTCACACCACAGAGCACTTGCTGACCATGGATAGACTGCGGCCAGCACACACAAAGCAGTAATGTAAAGAACTAGAGGTAGCAGGAGTTCATGCTGCTCTCATAGGCCTTCAAGCATTAGCTCTGCATGCTAGGAACAATAACACATCTAGCACCCTTTTGTTAGGCAGCCCGGTCCTGGTCATGTCTCCACACAGTTTGCCTTCACATACAATTTTAATTCTGAATGGGAATGCAATAGGTTAAAACCCCACCCTCCAGTCACATCATTGGTTTGAAATTTTGTATACATTAAGCCAACATACTGCATGATAACACTTTTTTTTATCATCTTGCTTCAGTGCATTCCTTTTTGTATTTCTGCTAATTCAAAAACAGCATTAAGACTTTAAGGTGTTTATTTTTGCCTATTAAGCAATTCCTGTATGATGCAGTAAAAATGTACCTGTAGAAAGTATGCAGTTTCTTGCAGTACTGTGGCAATTATAATGTGTTTCATTTCAAACAAGCAAAAAAGGACAACTTTTACCACAGCAATACATTTTGCTAACTGAAAATGGAAAAAAAAATCTGGTAGTTTAATCAAAAACATTTTTAATCTGCATATTTAGAAGATCCAAATTTTCTGTGAAGTAAGATTTTACTGTGGTTCACAGACTTGCTGTTGCCCTCTCATTTCTTGCAAATTAGTTATTCTTTCTAAGGTAGGGGCTCATCAATGCTAAAACCTTGCAGGAAATGACTTGAAGGTTTTTTGTTCCTTGGATTTCTTTTTTTTTTTTCCCCTTTTTGTTTTTTTGGTGACACAAACTCTCAGTTTTTAAAATTTCACGGTTTATCTTGCATCTTATACTGAAAACCAAGGAAGACAGACACATCTGATGCCAGCTAGTTTCCCTTACTAATAAAGTTTCATTAAAGTATTTGTATTGTAACTCATCTTGTTCATTAAAAGTATCATCCTCAGGTTTTTCCCCCACATTTGGAGGAGTTACTCACTTTCAAATACGTTCATAAAGGAAAGCCATAGATTTATGCCATACTAATTCTGAGCCCAAATAAAGGGGTAATTTCTGGTTTAGCCCTTTGACTCTACAGTACCTACAGTTTTTTTTTTAACAAAGATGGAGTATTGTATACATTTGTACTATTTCAGCACATAGTACAAATAAAACTTTAAAAATTTTAAAAGTCACTTTATGTTTTTGATCATTTGTAATACTTTGTATCAGTGAAATCACAGTGAGATGCTTGCAGAGCTAGTTCCAAGCTAAACTTTGTGCCTAACTTACCTTGAAAGTACATTAACTCTTAAGGGTTTTTAAGTATACCTTTGATTGTAAACCCTACACAATACAACCAGTAGTGCTCATTCCTTATGGTTTTGCTATCTGATGTTTAACCTATGTGTATAATTGTGTTTGCTTTAATATATATAATTTTTTCAACAAGTAAACTTCTTATGAAATAAAAAGGAAAATGTACTTGTTTAAAAACCAAGTTGTTCAGACCTTAACCTGTGACACCGTTTGTCCTGTAGGCTTTCTCTTCCTTAAGCCCTGTTTCAAAAGCTGGAGAGAGAAAAAGTAGCTTCTCCTCCCATTTCACTAAAATATCACCATTTTTGCTGCCATAATCCATCTCACAGTGAGTAGAGGATATTCTTTATGCTGGCAGGTAAATGTGAAGTGTTATGCACATAACTTTGGTGACAGCCAGCAAATTGAGCTTTTCATGATTCTCACTTGTAGGTACACCTGTATCTTCCAGGTATTATGTCTAGGGAGATGATCATGATGGTACAATTTGCCTTATATTTTTGCCTTTTCCTGTTGTTTCTCTATATGGCTTCAATCACAAGTGGTCCACTCCATATATCACTTGGATGTGCCTCATCTCTGAAGAATGGGCATCACAAAATTGTCATGATAAAAGGGTTGTTGAAGGGTTGTTTATTCCTTAAATCACAATCATAACGTGTTCCAAAAAATAATCTCCTTCAGGAGAATTCTGGCATGAGATACTGACTCTTCCTTTCAAACAGCATCAAAGAAGGGACAAGGCATTATGCAGCAGCAGGATGCCACTTACTGCTTTGGAGGCACAAACCAAGTATCAAATCCTGATGATAAACAGAAAGCAGCAAGACAGCCCTGAATCACTACACCGGCAATTTCTTATAGTTCCTCTGAAGAATTTAACTCCCCCATCAAATACAAAGTCTGTGAAGGCTGATCTGATTCTTTAAACATTTGAAGGCAAACTCCTTCATGGCAAGACCTTCACCTTAAACATTCACATTAAGTACATTTCTTTGACTGGTTTCTTAGCAGAAATAGGTCCTGTGCAGTAACAACGTGTGCCTGACAGTCTGAGCACACCTCAGACCTTTGTCAGAGGGCAGAAGTTTAAAAAAAAAGGAAGAAGGCCTCGCATGGACAGACCCAAGGCAATTACTTCAACTTAAGAAACGGATACCAAGTCAATGCATGACTGGACAGCAGAAAAGTAGGAGAGAGACTTCTAAAATAGATTATATCCAGTCAACCACACAACAACAACAAATCTATAACCACCTTTTGTCATTTCAGTTTGGTCATTGTAAAAAATACTTGTCATACATTTCCGGTAGGTTGGACTGTTCTTTCCCTGCAACCTGTCATTAAATTCAAAATTACAAAGGAGTGTTAAATCAACAAAGCTCTGCTTCTACTTTACATGAATTTGTGTACAAATTAAACACTCTTTTTGTGAAAAGTCAAGTTTATCTTAAAGAATAGAAATATCCAACAAACTGCAGAAAGATGATTTGATGAATCATCTCAACCATGAGCAGTTGCAGCCACCAAGTTTTCAACAGCAAGACTGATCTGTCTGATCTGATGGTTGATTCCAGCAAGGAATGAACTGCTAAATGTTGAGCATCCCTAAGGTCCAATTGATTTTTTTTTTTTTTTTACTGCGTGTTGTCACGCAAGATATACCCCTTGATTTCTGCATTACACTGTACTAATAATGTGGTCATGCCCTAAAATCAGTGCCACTGCCAAAACAGAAAACAGTGAACGTGGTTCATATATTGATATGGAAAAAATGTGTATGGTATAATTAGCCAGTTCATTTCTATAAATCTGCACTAGTACAGATGCTGTTAATCAGACAGTAAAACACATGTAAAAGGGAAGTGTTGCAGAGGATAGATAGATATGATTGTTCTTGTAGCTAGCCGAATGTCACTTCTGCCCTTGGATGAATCCTGGAGTGAAATGGACTGTTCCCTGGAGTGAAATGGACTGTTCCATCCTACCCCCCAAAAGATTGTGGCTCATCCCACACCTCTGTACCTGCCCCTGAAGCATCGCAGTCTGTAACCCCATTGGCCCATGCCTTGTCCCAGCCCACCTGGGAGCCCCTGAAAAGGGGGCTCAGAGGGGCCATGTGGTCTCTTGGCCCTCTCCTCCTCTCTTGGACTTCCTCCCCCCCTGGGCTTCCCCTCTCCTAAACCCTCCGTTTCTCTCTCCCCTCCCCCGTCCTCCTAAGCCCGGCCACGTGCTACGCCTGAGAGCACGAGGCTTGGGCATTCCTGAATTCTCCAATAAACCTCTCTCCCCAAGAGCAAGCTTCAGAGATCTCTGCCTCCCTACACCCCCACCGTGCAGGAGAATAATCTTCCCACAGGGAAGGTGAGTTTTTAAGTGTCTAAATGTAAAGAGCTTTTTTCCTATGAAAAGCTTCAATAGATGTTAAACTTTCTTAAACAGACTAGAGTGCAAAGAGAAGGAAGCCCGGCTCTCTTCAGGGCTGCCCATTGACAGGACCAAAGACAATGGGCACACACTGAAACACAGGAGATTTCCCTCTGTCCGTTAGGAAACTTTTCAGTTGCAAGTGACCAACACTAACACAGGTTGCTCAGAGAGGCAATGGAGTATCCAGCCTTAGAGAATTCAGAAGTCCCATGGACATGGTCCTGTACAACCAGCTCTAGGAGGCCCTGCTCGGGCAGGGGCCAGGTGGACTCCAGAGGTCCCTGCCAACCTCAGCCGTTCCTCATTTGTGATTCTCGCTTAGTTGTTCCAAATATTGGTTACTAAGAGCCCACGGAAATTAGAAGCATCGAGGTAGTAACTTCAAGTACCCACCAGATGGCAGGAAACAGCCAAGGCCAGGCCTTCGCAAGCTTTTAATGACGATCTGCACTACTGCAGCGTTTAAAAGGGCGTGAATACTGTTTGCCATGGAGCTGGGGAATTCTGCCCTCTAAAAGTCACTGGAAAAACACTTAATACTACTTTGATCTTGAAATTATCATCTTGGTAAAAGTTTGAGTGGGATGAACGAGGAAGAATAAAAAAAAAACCTGCTTGTTACCAATTATTAAATAGATCTTTTGGGTTGGTTTTCCTTTTTTTTTTTTTTTTTTTTTTAAACACTGCTAAGCATATCTACATTTAAAAAATACCTGATTGAAATTAAAAGTCATATTTAACAGAGACATTGAAGATAAAGGAGTAAATAATTTATTTGTTTGAAAACCAGAAATCTTTTCCATGTGCTAGAGACTTAGGCACTTGCTAAGGCTTCTCTGTGCCACAGTTATTTTGCAGACAAATCATTTTTGTTCTTAGTCCTTCCTGAATCCTCGGCATATCTGTGGATCTGCAGGAGTTCCTTGTTACTGCACTATGTGTTCATCACCCTGTGCCTCACATATATTTCCTAAAGATCAAGCATTTGGGCATTTGGAATGCTTTAGGGGCTCAGTTCAGTGTGCACTCTTAGTGCACTCTCCTGATGTGCTGGTCAACTGGGCTCCTTCTAAAATGTGGAAGCTTCCAGACAAATGGAGGTAATGTTCAGTCAATTACACAATATGCTAGCAAGCACAGCAATTACCAAGAACATACGAAGCAGATTCAGTTTCCCTTCTGTAGGGATCTGAGCCCAACTGCTGTGAAAATACTGTCCAGAAGTAGCTACTGCTCTCTGAAGATTCCTGTAAACAGGCCCCTGACTTGTGATAAAATCCCCCTCTTACTAGTTAAAAGTCATAAATAATGCTCCCCAAGGAATGTTCTGACTACCAGAAAACAAAAACCTGCTCTGTCTTTATGGTTAAAATAACCCTGAAAATTCTTTTTGTGTGCCAAAAGTTCTGTAGAAGATCAGAGAACATTCCCTACTCCACCACCCAAAACTCAGTGATGACTTCTTAGGTTTAGCCCTTCTTCCCTAGGTCTTGCTGCATGCTGAGGACCCTACCTGATCACCACTGATCACCACTCTTGCTCTCCAAAGCCATGTCCCACTGCTGCTTCAACAGAGGCACCACCATATTTCCTCCCTGGGAAGAGAAGGGAATGTGACAGAGAAGGGAGTTAGGTAACTGGTAAGGCTTCCCAGTGCCAGATTCCCGAGTAAAGCTGTTTTGTTGTTACTCTTCCTTCAAACAAGGCCAAGGTAGAAGGCAAATAAAGGTGTTTAAGCACAACTCCTAAACCAGTACTAATAAACAGGCAACCACACAAAAAAACTTGTGTACTCTAAGATAGAAGTGGAAAAGTTTCTCCTTTTTTTTTTCTCCAGCTGATTTGCTATGACATTTTTATCAACTGTGACCACCAGGATTCTGTTTTCTTTGTATTCCACTTGAAGTTGCATTCTTTGTATTCCACTTGAAGTTGCATATATTAGGAAGAAGTTACTTCAGTGAACTGTGTAAGGCTTTAGAGCCAATCTCTCATTCAAGTTCCTTAGATGGATGAGAGAGATCAGTTTCAAAGTTAAAGGTTAAATTAATTTAATGTGGGAGAAAGTTGTACCATTTTCCACACTAAATGTGTAACATTTTACATTACGTAAATGCATACATATGTTTTTTGGTGCAAGTTTCATGTTCTGTATCTGGCTGCTTGCCCCAACAAGGGGAAAGGTTTTCATTCTTTGGTGACTGTGTATAGTTTCAGTGATGAAGAATCTCTTTAACCATCATTTGCATTTAATTTCACTCTGTACATGATCATAAATACCAGATACAAATCTCTAAATAACATGAATTGTAGCTACTGGGCCCAACAATAATTAACCACTTTGGAATGACAAGAGCTTGTTGTTGATTAATGTCCAACAACTCTCTTCCAAGGACTCTTTAGAAGAGCTCCTATTATTAGAATATTTCAGCATGATGCAGGAGATGCGATCTGTTATCCCCCGAGCAAAAGAAAGAAATGAACTTCAATGCTTTGGTGAATCCTCGGTTTTAAAGATGGTTTAAAACCCTTGAAAACAAGATGCTGGAAGGCATATCAAAAATGAGCCAAGGTACAATGTCTAGCTCTGTACAACAGCCAGATTCACAGCACATCAGTGTTCATTACCTCCTGATGACCATGAAGGATTCCCCACTCTAGAGTGACTGATCAGGTTTTTCAGCATTACCTACACTTAAAGAGTTTAAGGTGAGATTCCAGATTCCCCTTAAACCTTAACTATTATGAC